GTTTCTAGGTATTTGTATGAAAAACAGTAGTCTAAATACATTTAGGATAAATGCACAAATGCTATAACTTAATTACAAAAATACTGTTATATTCCATTACTCCTTTAATACATTTAATACATGTCTACTACGATAATATAATAAAATTCAATATGAATATCCCACATTTCTGCCACAATACCATGGTGAAGTTAGTGTTACTACAGTAAATCCATGGTAAATGATGGCGATTTGTAGATTGAAAAGCCTTCTGACTGTATCGTTGCTCACAGTGTTTCTCCTTTTTATCAGCGCTGTTTCATCTGGCTTTAAACTAGTTTAAATCACAGAGTCATTTATGTTCTTTGCTGAATTCAAGCACTTCACACAGGATCTCACAGCACTGTTTAGTGCTCGCGCGACAGAGTCTTATACACATCTGCTCTAGTGAACTCGCGCTGTGCTGCCGTTTCAACTTCGGATAAATGCTCCGTGTGGAGCGATTCAACTTTTTTTTTAATTGAGAAAAAATTACATTTTTATCGTTTTATCATCCAGCCCTATATAGATATATGTCAGTTTAGAAAGGGTTAAACACAACCATTCTTCTTCAAACGTTCTCATACTGTAGTTGCTGAACCAGTTTCTCTGACTCACCTGTATGTTTGTGAGAATCTCTCTCACTGCTTCCTTCTGCTGCGGCTCACGGGTGAGTAAGAACAGGAATCCTCCTCCTCCTGCTCCTGCCAGACTCTGTCCTAAACTCAGTGGCTGAAGTGCGTTCATCATGGATCTCACTGCCGCCGGCTCACAGCCTGGAGCCATCAGCTTCTTCTGCTGCCAGTATGTGTCCATACACTCCCCCAATCTGACGAGAGATCCTGAGAGAAACAAAACAAAAGAGTCAATCAAAATCAGGTTTAAATATGTGTGTGTGTGTGTGTTAGGGGTTGCACCGACTAATCGACTAGTCGACTTCAATGCTCTGCCATGACGCTTTAAGCTTGACGTCGACTAGTCGCTGGTCCTGTAGAGGGCGCAACAGGATAAGAAATCCTTGAAGGACTTTCACGTTTTGCACGTGCGCGAACTGAGTTTTGTGGAGAAAATGTTTGTCTCGCAAAGAAGAAAGTATTTAGAGCGCACGAAAATCAATTTTGCATTTAAAATAAGTTTT